CCTCATGTGGCGACACCTGTTCCTGTGATAACTCTCTAAGATGGGGATTCCTTTTTCTCTTATTTAATTTTGCATCTCCAGGACAGGAAGTAATGGGAAATCTCCCCAGCTGGATGCAGGCAGCAAAAAATCTAAAAGGGGTATAAACTCTTCCCTACTCTATAAACTACAAAAAATAGGTTTTGGCTTTACATACACTGAAATTGCTAACCCAAGATATGCTGACTTACGATGATATGTGGGATCTTGGATAAGAACATTGCTAGGGTCACATGCATGCATATTCGGAAATAATCACATGACTGCCACGCTGTCCCTTACCAGCTATTGTGCGTGGTGCCCAGTACCATGGCAGCCGAGTCCCTAAGTCTGGGCCCACAAGGACCAAAATCCATCCCTGAAAGTGTGATAGAAGAAAAAAAGCAAGAGTTTGTTATTAAAGGGACTTTGTCATGAGAGGCAGTCATTGCTAAACACACCTTTGGGGTATGCTAGTTCCCTAGCAGTCATGTTAATGCTTTGGCTCCAATGCTTTCTGAGCTGCTGACCTGGAACAACATGCTAATTCCAGGCATGCGACTCAAAGGTCAGACACAGCCAGGCAACTAGCATTTCCAAAGGGAGGCCCACAATGGTGGCCCCGTAAATGACATGACTGAGTCACGTTAGGGGCACCAGGCACACACTGCACCCTTCAGTGTCAGTTATAAAGTTGTAGAAAAAGGAACCGATATATGAATGGAAAGCAACATAGGAGAAAAAACACCAAATCAAACTACAGGACCTCTGGATAAAACGGCCCAGTTTTAGTCCATGAATAGAAGTGTATGTTGATTAGTGGATTAATTCAACTTTAATGGTGGGGTGTGAGATGATTGAGATCTTAATAACTGGGTTGCTATAGCTAGGGACATTGCATAATATGATCCCTTTGAACTTTGAAGAACAGACAATAAACTGAGTGGAAGCTTAGCTTGGTACCCCTGGGCCCTGGTGCAAGATATGAGCCAGGTCCCCCAAGCTTCAATAATGTGCCCACTGCTCCACTCCACTCCACCTTCCCTATCTAAAACTAAATTCCTTCTAATAACTGCCCCTGTATGAGAATAAAAAAAAGCATCCATACTAGTCCATGGAGTCCAGCATTGTCTACCTTACAGCTGATGGCACATGCGCATTGTGAGATTTCGTGCTATACACAGACAGAATGCAGGTCTTCAAGATGTTGGCCCTGGCTGAGACCTGCATGATGTCTGCACACATGTGGGGGGATTCCTTCCAGATATGTGTGATGTGGACATCCCAGGAGGCAATGTGGGCGAGTCCTATGTAATCCTTGCCTTGGTAATGAATCAGGAAATGGAGGGCCACACTACTAAAAAAAAAGGCTAATTATTTTAAAAACAATCCAGCTATATTTTGTGTAAGAGGTAGGGAGGAGGGAGCAGCCGAGAATAAGTTCATCTAATGGGTGAAGGTCCGCTTTAACATCTCCGGCTCCTATGACTTTCCTACAGGCAACATACCCAACCCCGTTCTTGTCTGTTTCTAATATTCCAAAATCTCATATTCCCTCCACCTCACATAACACCCCGGCTCCTATAACCTCTTCCGCCTTGTGTAGTAAACACCCTCCCCTCAAATGGGGTGTGCACTTGCTAGAGGTGGTGGATAAGGTACTTGGTTAATACTAGGGAAGTCCGACAGGCCCTCCAGGAGCAGGTTGCTACCACAACCTTTGCTGTCCTTGTTCCTATGCCACATATGTGACTGGTTTCTCTGTATTGTCAAGCCCCACTGAGCATTGTGTGATCGGCATGAATATTTACACTGATAGCCTATCCCCAACCTTCTCTATTGGAACTTAATGTGATAGGCAGGCTTACTTTTGCCAATAGGATGATCTGGAGGAGGTTAAGTAAGGTCAAGCTAAACTTTTGTTGAAAAAGATCTATCGTATGGATCTATTGTTCATTGTGACATGTGGTTTTCACTAAAGGTAACCTCTACTTATGCACTGACCAGGACTGCGACAGATTTATATTATGGTTCAGTTCCAAACAAACTGATAATTTGATAATTCACCATGGATAGGGTAGGAACCTCCTGCTGCTTTAACTTTTTTTTAAGGGTTCCAATAGTGAGATCAGTTTACGTCTCTGTCCCTTCAACAAGGTCAAAGCAAAGGCAAGACTTTTGGAAGCGGTGCTCTCAAGATTTTATTGGTTTATTTTGCCATCATTTGGCTTTGTTCATGCCCATACCAGATGGAACTGGAGTTACCCAAGAGAGACAAGAATTGAACATGCACCTCAAACTGCCAGAAAACATACAAAACTGAAATATCAGTTTGGGTGGTGCAGACCTTTAAAGCAAAACTTTAAAGAGGTTTTTTTTAACTCAAAAGCTGGCCATCTCATAGATTCCTCATCCACACTAAGCAGCATAGATGGGGGAATCCCCTGCTGTCTCCAGTGTATTCCGATAGCAGCCACCGGCCCTTCTCCACAGAGGGCTAACAGCATTGGGAGGATGCTGCGGCAGAAAATAGCCCAGTTGTCAGTGCTGTCTGTGACGACATACAGTTTGGACTGCTGGTTCCTTAGCTCAGTCAGGACCTGAAGGATCAGTTGGCCCACAGCTCAAGTGGGGGTTTGCTGCCGACGTTTCCTGCAAAGGGCTCTCTCCTCTTCTGTCGCAGGACCCTGGAGATTGAGAACACTTGCTATGGATTTTCATGGTGTGATAGATGCATACATTTTCAATAATGAAGAGCTAGATAGATAGATAGATAGATAGATAGATAGAAGAAAAATGCAGATAAAGATAGAGCGTTAGCAAAGTGTAGATAGGAAGATATTTAGGTGCCTCATGGATGGTTGGAGCCAGGGCTACCGCCTCTTTTGACTTAGCCGGTGTTGAAGGGAGAGCTTGATGTTCTCAAGGGACCGCTGGTGGTATGTTCCTTCACTTCTCTCTCCTCCTCTGGAGCCAGACTGGATGGGGTCCTATAAACAAATTACAATCAATATAACCTTAAATTGCTGTGCATATACAGTAGTATCAGAGACGGGTTGGGATCCACCTCTGATAAGACATACCTAATATATATTAATTAACAGATATTTACTCCTGTGACCCCATGGTACGTCTAAGAACGGACCCCTCCTCTGCATATGGGTGCTTTTTGCGTCCGCCTCTGCTTGAGCATCCACTACGTGCTGCCTCCTCCTCCTCCTCCTCTTTCAACATGCGTTTGATGCATCACGTAGTGAGCGCCAACGTGTACTCAGGCTATCCCCTGAAAAATAGAAGGATTTGATGGTTACATTCAATACATAACATTCCTTTTATTACAGCATAGATGCCTGCTGGATGGACATAACACATTGACCACTTAGTAGAAGCGATCTTCAATGCATAGGCATGCAACATGAACATGTTCCATACTCTGTGTGGTACTGCAGTCTGCAAAGTGTCTCTTTTTGACAGATCAAATGGATATGCATTCACTTCTGTTCTCCTTGGCATCTGGTGTTAACTTGCCTTATCCCGTACCCTATACATTTCCCTCTGCACCCAGTCGGAATATCTTGGGTGCATGCTGTCCCACATTTTCAGGTGTTGTTGTACTGCAGCAGTTAGGTCCTTGTTACGACCTGGATGGGCAGGACCAGCATATCCTGTTTTGAAACCCTCCTGTATTTTTGCTTACGCAAGTTGTTTTGGGCTTATTCGCACAGGGGGACTTGCTTTCTGGGGGGGGGAACAAGCGTAGCATACTAGCGTGTAATTTTGAGTAGCCGGCTGTACATTTATGTCGATGTGCAGCTGTGTCCTCCCATAGGAATGTACAGGTGGCTGTACACAGTTACACACTGCACCTGTTACTCCCACAAATCAGGTCTTTGCATGGACATGCATGAAGTATAGATGTGCACATCCATGTGAATGAGCCCTTCTAAATGCAATGTGCTTGTACGCTGCCAGACGCACCTGTATACCGGTAAATGGGCACATACATTTTAATGCTGCTGCATTCAGATTAAACAAAACTAGACACTGTGTCATATGTATCATATATGCAACAGTATCAATCTCATTGTATCAATCTCATTGTATCAATCTCATGCTGTGTATCTATACATGTAATGTAAACATATTATATACACAAACATACATTAGACAGAAGGCTGTGTATTAAACTGGGTTGATGATAAGGTAGTTTGGGGAATATGATGAGTGCAGGTAATAAGAGAAGCCGGTTGTCACATGTGTCTGCTTTGTGCTGTGTACGTGATGCTGTACTGGAAAATAGGAGTGGCCAGGCTGGGTGGTGACATCACGCTGCATGGCTTATCTCTCTCAGCCCCAGCCATATAAACTGCTGTGCTGAGCCTGGAGACACAACTAGGAGAGGTGACTAGAGGAGCTGCTGAACCACCTGCACTGCAAGATCCCACTGCTGATCTACTTTCCTGCACTGCAAGATTCAACTGCTGATCTACCTTCCTGCACTGCAAGATTCAACTGCTGATCTACCTTCCTGCACTGCATGATCTCACTGCTGATCTACCTTCCTGCACTGCAAGATCCTACTGCTGATCTACCTTTTTCTATTGCAAGATTCCACTGCTGATCTACCTTCCTGCAGTGCAAGAAGATCCCACGGCTTACCTAACTTCCAGCATTAAAGGTCCCACTGCTGAACCATCTTCTAGCAATAAAATACCCCATTGCTGACCTACCTTCCTGCACTTCAAGATCTGTCTGCTTCAGAATAGAGCTCCACAATCCATAGCCAGCTCTACAAATTCCCTCTGTTCTGAGTATCATAACACTTATCCTGCTGTACTATCAGGCAGTGCTGTAAGATCCCACTGCTTCAGTACACAGTGTTGTACAATCCTGCTTAATGATTAGAAACAGCATTGATATATAAGTGAAATTACTTGGGTAAAAAATTCAGGTTCTGGTCTGTGTGCTCTTTAAATTGCACATATAAGATCTGAGTTCACTGCAAAGTAGACAGCTCAAGCTGGCTTGCACACTTCTTGGTGCCTGGTGCCATATGCTCAATATCTGCAGACATTGCAGAGCAATTACAACTGATATTCAGGTACAAAGCTGACAGTGGCCCAATCGGTGGTCCTGCTTGACCCTCTAAGACTTTCCTCTTTCCCGGCACTGACTATTACATCTCCTCCCTGCCATGGGGCGCTACACTGGGAAGACCTGCCGGCTGATCTTCATGCTGGTCATCACAGTAATTTTCTTTGTGGCAGAGTTGGTGTCTGGCTACTTGGGAAACTCCATCGCCCTCATTTCAGACTCATTCAATATGCTGTCTGACCTCATCTCACTGTGCGTGGGCATCACTGCCAGCCGCTTTTCCCGCCGCACAGACTGGGGGCCTCGGGTCTCCTATGGCTATGCCCGAGCGGAGGTGGTGGGTGCCCTGTGCAACGCTGTCTTCTTGACTGCTCTTTGCTTTACCATCCTGGTGGACTCGGTGCTGCGGATAGCCAAGCCAGAGAAGATTGATGACGCAGAGCTGGTGCTGATCGTGGGTGCCTTGGGTCTGGGGGTGAACATTGTGGGTCTGCTGGTCTTCCAGGACTATGGAGCATGCATGCGAGCCATCCGGCGGTGCATAAAAACACAGGATCCAGAAGAACCAGAGAGATCATCCGGTGACCAGCTGAATGTTACTCCCTATAGGGCAGACTTCCGGGGAGCAGAGAGTGAAGATCACGGCCGAGCAGGTGCCTTTCGGTTATTTTATCAGGGATTTTGGGTAATGGGCTCTATAAAGTGTCCCAAATGGGCAACTGTGACCTTAAATTGTGTTAATGTATCCATACACTCACCTATGGCCATATGGGCCATCCACAACTTTCCAGGATGCTAAGATGAGTTTATCCAATGGCAGTTGTGGCCTTCATGCATTCACAGCTGTTGTCCCCCACACAATCTATTAGTTTGGGAAAGACTAATATACATCCTTGTCAGGCAGCTTTGGGCATCTTTGTGAATCAGAGGTTGAACTAGGTTATTAACTAGGGAATGTAAATATGTATGTACAGTGTCTATAACTACACCGCCAAAAAAACAAGTTCAGGCCTTACCCCATTATAGCTTAGTGCCAACCATTTATTTTATAGTGTACTCTCATCTCAAGTTTGGCTCAATTTATTAAGCTCTATAATGCATTTGGTCTTTCTCCTAATCTAATAAGTGTAAAGATCTGATTTAGCGATAGTGACACACCCCCCCCCCCCTCGCCCTCACTGAGCTCTGACCAGCCACCTCTTTTGGCCTCTTCCAGTTACTCTGACTTTGTTGGCCAGAATATTGGTTATTGGATGAGCTAATGTGCATGTGCCACCTTTAGAATAACAAGTCCCAGCATGCGGACCGGACACCAGTCTCTGTTGGGACTTGTGTTCCTAAATGAACCTGTTTTATCATGTACTATAGACTTCAATAAAACACTTGCACAGCATGTACTATGTAGCTTGCTGTGACTTTGCAGTAACAGCAATTTCACGAGTCATATCTGAGGTCTAAGGGTTAATGACTTCATGGATGGTTTGGATAGCCTTATCTTACATAACTATGCAGAGTGCTCATGAAGCCACTGATTTGCAACCCCTAACACAGAAGCAGGAATTATATGTACTGTATATGTGTATGAAGTGTGTACAGTATATACTTCTATATAATAATTATATGTTTAGAGCAGCTTGATCAATGAAAGATGATTGCTGATTGGTTGCAGTGGGACTACACTTTGTATGTAGAACTTTTCTCTATTACTGACCGCTCTGTTTCTGTGTCTGTAAAGTGTACTTCGCAACTCCAGCTCACGTTCAGTCAACATTTTATTGACCTCTGTGGTGTCACAACATGGCGACGTTTCGGAAACCGCTTGGTCCCTTCATCAGGAAAACAGTCAGGCATCACTCTTTGTTTGCCTGCTGAAGGGGCCAAACGGTTTCCGAAACGTCGCCATATTGACAACTGTTGTTGGATTGCTCCATTGACAACTGTTGTTGGATTTTCCTTTATGTTTCTGTGGTCCCCAGGACAGATAGAAGGGTGAATTTTCCCAATTGGGACCGATAGAGGGTCTGATGCCTCCATACTCCATCCACAACTAAAAAAAAGCTTTGGCTGTAGTTTTGCTTTAGAGTAATTGAAGGTCACTTCTACACAGAGCTTTGTGTGGTAGTCGGCATGTTGCATCACACGTTGACTTCCTTATTCTTTCTGGAGCTGGAGTGGGGAGATCCTAGTTCCAAAACAGAACTATAGCTAAAACGTTCTTGTTAAGTTCTGTATAGAGTGGAGAGGGGTTAGAACCCCTGTTGTTGTTGTTTTTAAATTGCTGTCGTTGTTAGAAAGATTCACCCCTCTCTATTTGTCCTGGTTACCATGAAAGAGAATCCCAAATTTGGAGTTGTCTTCAGAACAGGAATAGAGGAGGAATCTTTCAATGGGGACACTAGTTCTGGTGACAGCAGAGATTTTGCTCACTTTGGAGGAATTTTCTTTTACTTCCTTTGGTGACTACAGGACAGGAAGTGAAGGGAAAACTTCCCAAGGGTACCCCAATGGGATAACTCTCCTTTACTCTATTCAAACTTTAATACAAAACCAGATAATGCAGCTTGGATCCCTGGATGAATCTTTACAGCAAGGGTAGCCAAACCTCAGCCCTCCAGATGAGGTGAAGCTGCAAGTCCCATAAGGCATTGCAGGACTATGACAGCCACAGGCATTACTTCCGTGGGCAAATGCATGATGGGATTTGTAGTTTCATTACAGTTGGTGGGCCAAAGTGTGGTTACCCCTGTCTAATAGTGTCCAATAAAAAAACAACTGGGGACAAAGTGACACATTCACTATGGCCTTGCCGGAGGAAGCAGAGACACAACTTTCACATTTCACCATACATCTCTAAGATACAGTATATAAAATAGAGCTGCAACAGTTAATCGATTAAGATCGACGATTGAAAACGTTGGCAACGTTTTCGATCGTCGATTCGTCGGCTATCGATTGCTTAGCCTGTTCGGGGCTCCGCATGCGGCCTGAGTCGCACATCACGCGTCACACGCTGCTCCCGACGTGCCCACCGCACAGGCCGCCGCCGCATAAGCCACGCCCACCGAACAGGC